CTGGGATGGAGCCCCGCCTCGGGCTCCCTGCTCCGCGCGGAGCCTGCTTCTGCTTCTCCCTCTCCCTCTACCATTCCCTCTACTTGGGCTCTCTGGCTCTAACTCTCTGTCAACTAAATAAATTAAAATCTTTAAAAAAAAAAAAAGTTGGAAAATCAGACTTCACCAAAATTTAAAATTTCCACTCAGCAAAACCCGCATTAAGAAAATGAATAAGGAAGCCACAGACTGGGTGAAAATATTCACAGAACATGTATCTGACAAAGGACTCAATTCCAAAAGATATAAATAACTATATATATAATTTTATAGACAAAAAAATAATTTAATGGGAAAAGGATTTGAACATTCTGCAAAAGAAATACACATGGCCAGTCAGCACGTGAAAAGTGCTTTAACACCCAAGTCATCAGAAAAATGCAAATTAAAACCAAAATGAGATATCACTACTCATCTAACCGAGTAACTAAAAAAGACTGGCAACGTCAACTGTTGGTAAAGATGTTAAAAGTAGAAGTCTCAGGGGCGCCTGGGTGGCTCAGTAGGTTAAGGAGCTGGCTCTTGGTTTCTGCTCAGGTCATGCTCTCATTGGTAATGGGATTGAGCCCTGTGTTGGGTTCCACACTCAGTGGGGAGTCTCCTTCTCTCCTTCTGTCCACCCTCCACCCTCCCCTGCCAATTTGCCTGTGCGTGCCCAGGCTCTCTGTAAGGTAAAAGGTAAAAAATATAAATCTTAAAAAAAAAAAAAGTAGATGTCTCAAACGCCACTGGTGAGAATATAAGAATGGTATAAAACTTTGGAAAACAATCTAATAGTTTCTTACTAAACTAACCATATATCCAGTCTATGACCTAAAAATTACACTTCTAGATACTCGTCTAAGAGAAATGAAAATATGTCTACAAAAAGTCTTGAGTATTCACATATTACAACTTGTCATGATGCAAATGAATAAACTGGCATAAATATGATAGCGGAATCAAAATATTCAACAGGAAGATTAAAAGACAAAAGAAATACCCCAGAAAGTAGAACTGAGGAAAGAAAGACAGTAAAATGGAAAAGAATACTAGATAATCAAGTAGCACAATACAACCAATAAGATTTCCAGAAAAGTAGAGGAAAACATCCTAAGAGAAATTTAATTAAAAAAATTCTTAGAACCAAAAAACATCCAACTTTATGTTGAAAAGGTCCAGAGGGCCTAGCATAAGGAACCAAAAAAGTCACACTACAAGGCACATACCTTGCAAATTTAAAAAATACCAGGGATAAATGGAAAATCCTAAAATCTACTAGAAAGAGAAACACTCAGAATAAGAATGAAATACTGGGCTTTTTAACAACACTGGGAGCTAGAGGACCGTGACAATATCTTCAAATGCCTGCTGAAAAAAATGTATTCCAACTCAGAATTTTATATTCAGCCCAATTATAAATCAAAAGTGAAGAGAGACCAATACATTTTCAGGCATTTGGAATTGCAAAAAAAAAAAAAAATTACTGTTTTGGACACCTTTGCAGGGAATTTCTGTACGATGTACTTCAAAAAAAAAAAAAAAAAAAAAGAGTAAAGCAAGAAAGACCTAAGTTCTAATAAAACAGAAATGCAAAGGAAATTCCTGGAATGACTGCAAAGACAAGTCCGGCACAGATGTGGAGCAGGCAGAGGGAAGCAAGCTCAGTTTGGAGCAGAAGGGAATACCGAGGGAGCTGGGAGGAGAGATAAGTCATCTGATTAAGTGTGATGTGGGGAAACTTTGTACAGAGTTTTGGGATAGAATGAACTGACTTAGTCAAACATACAAAGAAAACTAAGGCAAAGAGATATTGTAATTCTTTACTCTAGGGGGAAAAAGTTGTAGGAAAAAGGGGAACATAGTTCTAGCACACTCTGGCTCAGGAGTAACTAAATTTTACAGTCACAATAATGAAAACACGGTGTGTGTAAACCAAAACGCTATATTGGGATGATAAGGGAGAAAGTACTAATTTCTCTTCTACCATAAGACAAATGATTAGTACACCTGAAACTAATAGGTTCTACATCAATTATATCTTAAAAAAAGACAAATGATAATGTTTAAAATTTCCACATATGCATACTATTAAAAAATATGGACATATGTACTGGAACAGATATATTCATAACTTTGTAAAGATAATCAGATTTGAAATTATTTCCGTTATTGCTAACTGCATCCAAGTAATGTTTTCTAGCTTATAATTAAGCAATACAAAATTGCTGAGACTGTGTACTTTGTCATAGTTTTATTTAGACAACCACGCTTTAGCATACTTATTCCCAGAAAGGTATCAAATTTATGAGAAGATGCTTTGCGCTGTAAAATGCTACAGGAAAAAAAGATGGGAGGCAAATACTGAAAAACAGATAAGGGAAAGGAGCAGATATGGAGTTCTCAACTCTGGCTGCAAATCTGAATCCTCTAGGCAGTGATGCCCAGGCCACCCTGCCCCATTCTGATCTAACTGGTCTGAGATAGGGCCATGGGCTTATTATTCTAATATGAAACCAAGACTGAGTGATTTGAGTATCTCTGGATTAGTTGCAGTATAGCGGTGAAAATGGAAAATGCTGAGATTGTCAGTTAATTTTGTTGATATGGAAAGTAAAAATACAGGACTAAAGCATCAGTCTGATAACATTCCCCAGCTTACAAATAACATACAATGAGGGGCGCCTGGGTGGCTCGGTCGTTAAGCATCTGCCTTCAGCTCAGGTCATGATCCCAGTGTCCTGGGATCGAGCCCCGCATCGGGCTCCCTGCTCAGTGGGAAGCCTGCTTTCCCTCTCCCACTCCCCCGGCTTGTGTTGCCTCTCTCGCTGTGTCTCTCTCTGTCAAATAAATAAAATCTTAAAAAAAAAAAAAAATAACGTACAATGAGCAATCTCTTCAACGGCTCTGTACAGTTTAATGTCTTAGTCGGCTGACACACAAGGCCCTCTGTAATCCGGTTCCAGGGGCTACCTCTCCAACCTCAACTCTAACTCCCCCACAGGCCAACTAAGATACAGCCAAACTAAACTATTTTCAGCTTCCTTCAATGTACCCAAGTATTTGATTCCTCTCCCATTTGCATATTATTAGTCCTTCAGCCTAGAATAATATGCCCCTTCTACTTAGTCTGCTTAGCATGCCCAGTAAATTCCCACATACAGTAAAGTACAAGTATACCTTTTTCAGTAAAGTCTTCCAGGAACCACGTGAGAAAAATTAATCACTTGCTTCTTGGTGATGATCACCACACTTTTATACATATCTGTTAAAAAACTTACCACACTGATTTGATCTTTGAGTACTTTGTGAGTCACTATGTTATCTTTTCTGTTTGTTTTTCATCTTTGTATCTCCCATGCCTAACTGAAGACTGGTGATGGCCTTTGATTAAACGTTAGCTGCATGAATGAATGAGGATAAAATGAGTGGCTAACCACGGCTCTAAATTTTTAACAGGAAAGTTAAAAGAAAAATTATAAATAGTAATGGGGATTTAAGAGGCCTGAACAATATGGGACTTTAAGCAGCCCATAAATGTTTTTCTTCATCTCCTACATCCTCTGTTCCCTTCTAGTCTGATTAAGGCAATTAAGGAAGGCTCAATAAGATAATAATAAAACAACAGTAATAAAATGAGAGAAAGAGGAATTGGATGGGTAACACAAGGAGAAACAAAGACTTTGGTAATGTTTTGTTTCTTAAACTATGGGAAAAGATAAGCAGATAATTGTGTTGATCTTTATACTTTTTAACATGTGTTAAAATACTGCTTCACATATAGTAGTGAATTCATGTAGCGAGGACTAGAAAATATAAACTGCTGAAAAAGCCTGTATTAAATGTATAGCTATCCTTCAGAAGTTAAACTCCGACCACTCTGAAATCACCTGAAGTGTGATATCGGTGGTAATTGCATCTATACATATAATTGCACATATACACATATTTGGAAATGTGTATACATATATCCATATTTATAACTTTGGAAAAGACTATTTTAGTGTTCTTATCTACGGAACAAATGAACTAAAACCATTTCATTTTCTTCACGACTTCTCAAATCCAGGGGAAAAAAAATACCACATTGGCAGTAACAACTGGTATCATTATAAAACATTGGCTTATATTATGTCGGGTATTAAATGGAAAACGAAAATGAATTTAAAAAGTAGATACAATTACTAAGAAAGCATTCTCTTCAAAGAATGTCTAAAACTTTATCTATCGCCAGGCCCTTTTTTGTCGTGTATTTTCTCTCTTCAGAAGACATTACATCTCATTCTCTGACTCAGAACAGGTTTTACAACTTCTTGGCCCTTTGGACTTCCAACTTGTAAATGTCTCATAGCCTGTTCCAGACTAATTACGGACACGCAATCTCCTATACAGAAGGACCAAAAGCATTTAGTTCTCTTAATACCTAAGAAAGGAATAAAGGGTTTAGGATGCAGATTTCCGGAAACCCGTGCATCTCACAGGACAACTCATGCCCAAGTCTGAGGAGCAGGCGAAATCAGAGAGAACGTGAAGCCGCACTGGCTTCAAGACCACTGCAGGCAAAAAAGCAGCACTAGTAATAATAATTAAAAACAAAAAAAAAAAGCTGATAGGTTTCTGGGCGGACACTTACCTTGGGGCAAGCCACAGGATGCTTAATTAGAGATAGAAAAGACCCTCAAAATGCCTCCAGGTATCACTAGGTGCTTTCCGCTTTGCTTCGCTAAAATCCAAAAATTCTTAGTTTGGACTCTGGGCTCCCAAATGCCTCTTTTCACTCCTCATTTCTCCCACACATCCAGTCTCTCCTGCACCTTCTCCCAGCCTAAAATACCGAGTTTCTACCCGCCCCCTCGAGAAAATTACTTCTCTGCGTCTCAGGAACATTTGTGTCCACCGACAGCCCTGCCTCCGGCTGTCCCCTAAAACGGCCGGACCCTCCTCCCTGGAGTTGAGCCGTTGCGCAGCTCCATCCTTCTCACCTTGGTTACAGAAGAGGCTCCACAGTTTAGCGAAGATCAGCCCCATCATGAGCACCTTGGGCGGGCCACGGGGTCCCTCAGCAGCAGGTGCCGCTGTGCCGGGCCCCCCACCACGGCGCTGGCTGTAAGGAGCCGAGGAGAAGCCTTCTGAGACCGCGCGGCGAGGGCACTGGCTGGCCGAGAAGGCTCGATCAGCCGCTCAGCTACCGGTCAGGAGGCACCGCGCCGAGTCCCAACCGGATAGTCCTTTGTTTCGAGCCCACTGAGCCCAACGCCGACCCGTAGTCCCCTCGGTCTGAACCCACCTACCCACCAGAGCTTCCACCAGCCCCAAGCCCCGCCTTCGCCCCGCCTCCCCTCGCGATTCCCGACCACCCATCGCCGGAAGGAAAGGCCTGACGTCGTCACGCTTACGTTTACCCCCGCTTTCGACGTGGCGTTTCCTCCGGCTTCACTTCCGGTGGGCGGGTTTCAAAGTGCTCCGCTGAGTGGGAGGTTTTGGGTGCGTGGGAGTCGGGGAGTTTCCCTCCGTGAGCTCTTGTACTGGTCACTGTTTGCAAGCGTTTGCCAGGTTCCGGTACTTAAGTTTCTGTTGTTGGGCAGGTGCGCCCCGTCCTCTCAACTAGTGACAACTGCAGTTCCTCCCACAGAGTAGCGGTCGTTTGCTGCCCTGTTATTGCGCAGAAGTAAGGGGTGTTTCTCTCACAACCGTCACCCCTGTGCAGGCTGGCAGGCTTGGGGTTCTGCTGTGGTTCGAAATAGAATTGATCGGGGGACGATCCGTGGAATGGCGGTAGCCACAGAGTTTAGTTATGTGATTAACTTAAAGCCCCCCAGTTTTGCCACGCGTTCGAATTTTCATGGAGCCCAAATACACGAAATCAAATAACTTCCTTTAACTGAAATGGAATCCCAGTAAACTCCAGTTCAACAAAATAGAGGGAAAAGCGTGCTGTGTCTAGAGCAAAGAAACTGAAATTTCAAGGAAAAGGGTCGAATTAGGGAATTTAAAAAGTATGTTTAATATTCCTTAGAAGGAACTGTTGTGAACTTAATACCTGAAGAATTGGCTGTGGCTGGAAGTGATTTCAATTTACCTGTTTCCATTCCACTTTCTAATTTTTTAATTTTTTGAGGATAGTTGACACAATGTTACATTGGTTTCAGGTGTACTCACTCATAGTCAACATCTATCTTATGGCATGCTCACCACAGGTGTAGCTACCATCTGTCATGGTACAATGCTATTACACAATTCGACTTTCTTCTCCATTTTTTCTTTTAAAAGATTCACAGCATGGAATGAAGCCTAATTTCCAGTTATGGAGAGAACTTAATTGAAAAGCTATGTACTTTGGTCAGGTGGTAGGTTTTAACCCAGAGTGGTAAAATGCCAAACTATTTTGTTACCTGTACAAAGAGATGAAGTGTATGACTCCCAGTGTTATGATTCAAAGACCCTTTAGGACATACATGGGATAATGTGCTCCAACTTTGACACTAAAGACAAGTTATAACCTCCCACATAGAGGAAAAGGTATGTACTGAGCCTCTGTAAATTATTTTACCTTTCAGGACCATTAACTGGCTCAAATATAGATGATTTTGTGTTTGTGAAAACAGGATTGAAGGGACATTTCTAGTCCTAGTTTCATTAAAAAAAAACTTTTTAGATTCTGTAACTTAGTTTCTTCAATTGTCAGACATATATAAACCACATTCTACTTTTTTCTGGCTTTCAGATTTCCAATAAACAATTTCTTAAATAAAGCAGTTTTTTTGCAGAGCTTTGAAGCCAAAAAATTATGTATTTCTTACATATTTTTATAATGGGGTAATGATACTTTAGGAAGTAAATTTCAAGTATTTTTTCACTTTTAATTATGTGGAATGAATATATTTGAGGACCGTTTATATTTCTACTGATTCTACTCTTTCAAAATGTCTGAAACAATTTTTTAAAGATTTTATTTATTTATTTGACAGAGAGAAACAGAGAGAGGGAACACAAGCAGGGGGAGTGGGAGAGGGAGAAGCAGGCTTCCCGCCAAGCAGGGAGCCTGATGAGGAGCTTGATCCCAGGACCCTGAGATCATGACCGGAGCCAAACCCAGGCGCCCCATGAAACTTTTTTTTTAAAGTAATCTCTACACCCATCGTGGGGCTCTAACTCACAACCCCGAGATCAACAGTTGTATGCTCTGCCAACTGAGCCGGCCAGGTGACCCAAAATGTTTGAATTTTGTTTATGTTGAAGAACTCTAATTTTTGTCATCTTTTCTAAAATTTACCTGACAACAGGACTGCTGTAATATTTTTAAAATATCTTTTCACATTAGAAAGTGTTATTTGCAGATTTCGGAATTTGAAATTTTTACTAACTGGAAGGAAAGAAAACAGTCACAACTTAAAAAATCTATAATTGATTAACAAAATATAGTTGTGAATTATCTAAATAAATCATGCTTATATACCATAATTATCTTTTAGAAAAGGTACACTTTAGTTCATGTTGTACATTTGTATTATATAAATTATAGGAACGCTTGTCAAGAATTTAATCAAACGAGAATTTTGAGTCATATACTATTTTAAAAAAAAGATTTTATTTATTTGACAGAGAGAGACACAGTGAGAGAGGGAACACAAGCAGAGGGAGTAGGAGAGGGAGAAGCAGGCTTCCCGCGGAGCGGGGAGCCCGATGCGGGGCTCCATCCCAGGACCCTGGGATCATGACCTGAGCCAAAGGCAGACGCTTAACCGACTGAGCCACCCAGGCGCCCCGACTCATATACTTTTTAAATATAGCACTTAAAACATAACACCTTTATTCATTTTTTCTGAAAACATCCCTTTAAATTTTTCTTAAAACTAATTTCAGTGTAGCTTTTGATCCAAAGAAGGTAACTGTTCTATGAAATGTTACTATTTGTATACAAATATATTTTGAATTCATGAAATAAGAAAAAAGTCATAAATAAGGAATATAATACTATTGTTAGGATTATAACTTATTTTCTGAAGTGTTAATTGGAAATAACTTCCTTTAATGAAAATGGAATGCTGGTAATCTTTCTCTCCAACAAATTTTAAGAAAAAGATAAAAGTGTTGTATTTAGAGCAAAACAAAAAAATAAAAATTTCAAGGAAAAAATGAAACATTGAACAACTAGGAAATGAAAAACAAACTGTATTCCTTAGAAGGAACTAATTATAAACTAACTTCAGATAATAAGAAGGATTGGCTACAGCAGGAATTGAATTCAATTTATTACTGTTAGCTAAGATAAATCGCATGCATGGCTCGAACCAAAAGTCCAGGGACAGCATGTTCTGCCAACTAGGAATGAAATTTACTCTTTAAAAACAACTCTCTTACACATTTATGATTACGTCCACTTTGACTTTAGTCTCCAGATGAGCTGAGATAGTTTTCCAGCTTTCCTAGACTTTTTTTCCCTAATCCCCTCATATCTTTTTCCTGAAAGTAAGTATTTTGGAATATGTTTGTTTTTTGATAAAGTTAAGCTTTGGAGCACCACAAACTGAGATTTAAGATTATAACTAAGATTTTTTTGCTCCCCCACATTGGGGGCCATATCGCCCCACTGAGAAAATACAACCTAAATGACCCCTTATGTGGGTGTATTCCTACAGGAGTCTTCCTTTGCTTAGACAATATGCACCATGGCAACTTCAGGTTTGTATTATGCTTTTCTTGGACACAAACCTGGAACACCAAGAGGCATCTTCGTCAACATAACTGTCACTACAATAGTGTCGACAAGAATAGTCTGTGCTCAGCACTCTTCACATGTACTTAACTAGTGAACTAATTTCCAGCAAATACATGCTTTATCAGCATTTTCTTCCTCTGGTTCACATAGATGCCCATCCATCTATTCATCTAGTCATTTAACATTTAAGTGTCTATTACTTGTTAAGGCAATGGGTAGGCAGTGATGAGATAAAGTCTACCCTCATGGAATTTACAATCTAGCCCACTTGTTCTTCTCCCTTATCTCCTGAATACAGAGTCCAACCTTTATTGTTGCCATGGTCACGATGTTGAGGCTTCAAAAATTCCTTTGGAAATGCCTAATCTAGCCATTTTCCTAATCACTTTTATTTTTTTCGAGATTTATTTACTTATTTTAGAGTGGGGGGGCGCGTGCACAGTGGGGAGGAGCAGGGGGAGAAGGAAAGGGAGTCTTAGGCCAATTCTGGGCTGAGGGCGGAGCCCAATGCAGGGCTCAAAATGTGGAATGTGAGGTGAGGATCTGAGCAGAAACCTGAGCAGAAACCAACAGTCTTAATGGACTAAGCCACCCAGGTGCCCCTTGACATTTTCCTAATCACTTTTAGATGATTTAGCCATGAAAGCATCCCCTCAACCTACTGAAGAAGTATGTATGCCATGGTGAAAAGAGTTGGTACTTAGAAGGCAGGTGGCTATGGTCTTTATTCTCACTTTCTAATCAAGCGTGAGGCCACAGTTATTTCAGCTCTGGGAGCCTTGTTTTACTCTTTCATAAAAGGGTATAACCAGGGGCACCTGGGTGGCTCAGTTGGTTAAGCGACTGCCTTCGGCTCAGGTCATGATCCTGGAGTCCCGAGATCAAGTCCCGCATCGGGCTCCCTGCTCAGCAGGGAGTCTGCTTCTCCCTCTGACCCTCTTCCCTCTTGTGCTCTCTATCTCTCATTCTCTCCCTCTCAAATAAATAAATAAAATCTTTAAAAAAAAAAAGGGTATAACCACATTACAGGGTTGTTGTGTGGCTGTAAGTTAAAATATTTTATACAGAACCTGGTTGGCGTATCATATTAAGTAATTATTACATTTTTTAGACATCTCTGTGTGCGACTTAAAGACTTTAAAAACCCTTTCCTGCAGTTATATGTAAATGGCCACGGTGAGCTGCAAAAACAAAAATATAAGGCAAGGAGACAATTATTTTTAGTTTCCTATTCAATCATAAAATGTCTTTCATTAGGCATCTTCTCCTTTCGAATCTTTTCCTTCATCTGTAACACATAAATTATGCCAAGGGTCTCGGAGCCTTAATAACTCAGCTGTGATACAGGTAACCGCTAGCCTCATTCAACTAACTGTAAATACTATATGCGGGTTTTTAAGTTTTAACTGATCATTCATAGGTATTAACCCAGTTTTCAAAAATTTGAATAATGGCGTTCATTCACAGCTGAAGTCAGATTAGTATGCCTCCGAGAGATAAAGTAATTTCTGAAATCAAAGGGTGGCTTATAGGTTCAAATAATCTCTGGCTTCCTCCTTTCGTCAGAGGTCAACTAGCAGGTAACTAACCGGACCTCTCAATTTAGGCCAGCAAAGCCTTCGATTTCGCCCACAC